ACTACCACCGGTTGCCCAGCCACTCAACCAGGCCCAGTCAAATTAACATACAAATTGAACTACCACACTGCCTCATGTCAGGTGCAGTGTCACTGTGTTTACTCTTTCTCCACATCTTCCCTTGATTGGCTCAGGCCCCTATGCTTACTGGTCTAGCTCTTAACCAGCAGCTTTGGGACAACCCTAGGCCAGGACCAGGGTTAATCTGGCATTATGACAGCTCTCAAAACAGAACTATTTTACAGGCAACTCCTGTATGAACTGTGCCAGAGTCTCTGTGGGCCTCCTCTCAGCATCCTTTGGACAGGTCTCCTCTTGACCTTCTCTGGATAGGCCTCATCTAGGCCTTCTTAGGGCACTCAACTGTGTTGGCAACCTCCTGCCTGGAGGTGCTTAGCTCTGGTCTGTAGGCTGAGTCTATCTACCACCACTCTGTTCTCTGTGGGCTGACTCGCCCATAGCCACCATCTTGACTGCCACCAGCTATAGCCTTCACAGTTTCCATCACTCACACTGCACTGACCTTCTCTAGATCTGGGGCCCTTCTGGGCCTTTCATTGTTACTTCTGCCATTAGGACCCTTCTGGGACTCTTTTGTGTTATCAGTTCAGTGTTATAGCCCTTGAATCACATTATAGCTTTTTTTTTTTATTTGGGTCTAGGAAGTTCTCAGTTGTGGGAGCCTGGCTTGAAAAGATTCACTGCTCTCCAAAATTCTGAGATTGGCTGCTTATGCAGGAAAACTCCTTGTCAATTTCAAGGAGTGATTTTCATAAACCATCCAATAGCTTAGGTGGATTGTAAACTGATCAATCTTATTGAGTGGATTGCATGCCACTTATGCAGACAGCAAACTGACCAACCCTTGTAAGACTACGTGGAGAGCAAACATACAAATCCTTGCAATCACCTTATGTAGATAGCAAATGCACCAATATTTGGAAGACAGCAGCCTTACCAATCATTTTTGGAGAATTGCAAACTAGAGCCAGAAACACACATTGAAGAAGCCTGGGTACCACACCACTTCTACTTTCTTTTGGCTCTATTTGCACGGATTATTTTCTCCATCCTTTCACTTTCAACCTATTTTGTGTCTTTATGTAAAAGATTTGTCTTGTAGACAACACGTGAATAAATCATGTTTTTTCCTTTTTCTTTTTTAATTTTATTCATTCTGCCACTTTTGGTCATTTGCTTGCAGTTTTTAATCCATTTACATTTAACATCACTGATAAGAAAAGGCTTACTTCTGTCAATTTACTAATTGTTTTTTGTGTATCTTATACTTTCTTTGTTCCTCATTTCTACCTTATTTTTCATAATTTGTGTTTAGTTGCATTTTTTTCTGATAAGTGCTTTTTAAATTTCTTTGTTCTTTCCTTCTGTGTATATTTTTTAGATATTTTCTTTGTGGTTACCAAAAGTTTACATGTAACACCTTTCATTTGCCACAACCCAGTTTAATTTGTCCTGGGTTGGTGTAAACCATTATGCACTCAACAACTAGCTGAAAGGTTTGTGGTTCATGGTTCGAAACCACTCAGAAGTACCTTGAGAACAGGCCTGCTGATCTGCTTCTGGAAAGCGACAGACTTGAAAACCCTGTGGAGGAGTTCTGCTATGTACACTGCTATGTCATCAGTTGGAGTTTGATTAAAATGTGTCTTAGTGTGTAGATCTCTGTGGGTAGTTAACATTATTGAGCTCTAGGATTTGCATGTTCAACTTGTTAAGTCTGTAAAGTTTTCTGCCATTATTTCTTCAACTATTCCTTGTGTCCCTTTCTTTCTCTTCTCTTCTTCCAAGATCCTCATTGTACATATGTTGGTACACTTGATGATATTCCATAATTCCATTTGATTTTGCTCATTTTTCTTCATTCTTTCTGTTTATTTTCCTTGGGACTCAGTATATTCTATTACCTTGTCCTTCACTTCATATATTCTTTCTTCTGCTAGCTCAAATCTATTACTGAATTCTTCCCTTGCATTCATTCCAGTTAGTATATTCCTCAGCTTAAGTAAGCTTATTCCTCACTTATTGACTATATTTTCTATCCAACATTTCCCATTTATGACAATAGTTTAAAAAAAAAACAACTACTATCTGACTATTTTGATCATTAACAATGTACATCTGGCAGTGATATCAAGGTGTGAGGTGAAAGTAACACTGGCTATGATGGTTAAGGTTACATGTCAACTTGACTGGGCCATGACTCTCAGTGGGTTGGCAGTTATGTAATAATGTCATCCGGCAGTTATGTAATGATCTAATTTGGCAGTTACATAATGATGTAGTCATCCTCCATCTTTGTGATCAGATGTGGTCACTTCCATTTTAGATAATGCCTATTTTTGCATAATGACCTGGTCTTTAGGTCCTAACCATTTTGATAAGTGTGTGTTTCTATTTGGTTCTTTCTTGTATTTTCTATCTTCTTATTGAAATTCATTTTGTTTCCTGATTTCCTATAGTTTGTAGTCTATGTCCTCATAGTTTTCAAAATATATATATGTGTATATGTGTGTGTGTGTGTTTGTAATTCAAGGAGAAAAACAAATAATAGAATACAGACAGTATTTGATAACAACTATTATTACCTGATGTAAGCTGTAGTTGATTGTATGTTTGTTGCTTTTCCAGACTACTTCTTATAACTTGTGAGTTCAAATTCTATTATTTTTGCAGTCAGTACCCAATAGAAGACAGATTCCACTAGAGGTCACTCCAGACCTTTGATTCTGCTGGCACTAACATTAAGTTAGGAAATGGCCAAAATCTTCCCACTTATCTGAGTTTGTCAGAGCACAACTGGACCAAGCCTTCTCTGCAACTTTGTCATCCCAAAGCCTTGGAGGGGAAATTACCCCTGCCTTCCCTGGTGTATAGGGAGCTCTGGTGACAGTGCCTAAAGCATTTGACTGCTAACCAGAAGGCTGGTGGTTCAA